GTAAATTCGCGTTCAAACCACTAAGCCATCTCGCCCCGGGCCTTATAGCGCTTCAAGATTGATATCTTATGGCGGGTTGGTGTCAATATTTTAATCGGATCCGCTGAGTTCTTCCATCGGTTGTGTTGAAGAAGACCAGCGGAACTGTTCTTTGATGTGCTTAGCCCATCGCTCAAGACGAAGGCTGAGGGAGTGTACTGGCGTTCCGTCTTTTTCGCGTATTATTTCATTGACACCTGCCCTCTTTTGACCCGTTGATTGAATCAGCTGAAATATGACACGGCTGTTGCCTTCAGCGAAAGTCTCCTCCATCTATCTCATAGGTCTTCGAGATCTACCAGCGTTCTCTGTCATTTTTCAAGCTCCGGAACATGCGACGTTTGAGGGATTTGCTCGCGCCATCATAGTCGCTGGTTGCTGGTATAGCCTTTCTGGCATGAATAAGATCTGCTGACTTCGACGTTATCCAGTGTTTGCTCAGTCGAGTCAGATGACCTGGACAAACACTTTGACAGCTGAGAGACTGCTTTTTTTAAGTCGCCTCCATTCACTCTCCAAGCAATCTTCGCCATCCACAAGACTGTGCGTTTTCAGAAGCTTTCTAGTGAGATCAGCTCGATACTCTTGAGGTACTGAAGTTTGTCGAAGTTGATAAACGGAGTTGTTCTCCTTTAGTACGCGTAGTGCTGAAGGAAAGCGAGGTGCTGACCTGGCCCACACGACCGCATGATCGGAGTCAAGTCGCGTACTTCAGAAGGAACGACAGTCCTAAACTGAGGCTCTCTATCGGTAACTGATAGGCACATGGTCCAACTGAGTCCGACTTTGTGGCAGGAGGCCTCCAAGTAACTCGGTGTGAGCGTTTGTGTTGGAAGTTCGTACTGGCCAGGAACAGATGATGGTCTGTACGCAACTGAGGAAGTTGCTCTCTATTATCCGTATGCTCAGCATCGACTCCGAATCTGTCACCTAACCGTGCTTCTTCCGGACTTAGTCGTCCGACTTGGGCATTCCATAATTACTATATCCGTCCTTCTTGTCGATCGAAGCGGTCATGACAGATATTCGTGAAATTTTGACTTCTCAGTCTCAGAACTGCCGTCCGTTGGGGCGTACGCTGATACGACAAATAAACACCGCCTACGGCATAGACCTGCGTTAATCCTAATTGAGCCAGACAACTGCACAGACCAAAAGCGACTGTTTACTGGGACCCAGTCCAATAGGGCGCTCTCAGTCCCGGGACTGAGGGCAACTCCCACACCGTAGATACCACGAATTATTGCGTCAGAACCACTAGATACCCGAGGAGTGAAATTTGGAATATCTGAGCTCGCTCTTGGCGGCTTGAGGAGCACGACCGAAGTGGGGTCTTGCATGCGTGCTTCGGAGACACAATACACATCGACAGAGAGGGAGAGCAAGGTTTCAGCAAGGGATGTCTGTTGATCAATTTGGCATAGAGTACGGACATCAAAGGCTGCAACGTGGATCAGATCTGAGTTCGGTTTACTTTTCTGGGCGAAGGTTTAGATATGGAATGGTGGCTAGGAAATTGGCAGATGGGTTGATTGCACGGCAACGTACGACCGGTGGGGAGAGAGTGTGGGAGAAGGCCGAAGAGCGAAGAACTGCAAGGGCGAATGATACTTCCCGGTTGACCAAGGCTGACGAAAGGGGGTTGGTTAAGGTAGCCCACATTGAGCCTTTGACTAAAAAATCTGGCCCACAAGGCAGTGGAAAGATGTAGTTTTGTTCGAGGACCCTTTCCCTAGCCTCTGACTGAGAACTCTGACCCGTGAAACAGCGGACAATGGGGTTTTCTTGGGGGACCCTTCCCGGAGCCAATGACTCAATAGTATGACCTACTTGGCTGCAGAGGGCCGGCCTGACCCGAGGGCTCAGGGAGCAAGACATTGCTGTTTCGCTCCTAGTGCAGCTGCACACAGAAGGTGCCTTTTGAGCAGCACCAAACACTTCCGCTTTTAAAAGTATTTCGGCCGTACTGAATAATGCGCCGGCGGTCACGGTCAACCACTGGGTGATCGAAGTGTGCGGTTTTTGGGGTCGACCTTTTCTAGACCGTCCTTCTTCGGGGGAAGACAGCATCGCTGCTTCCATATAAATATGCTGGTCGTCTGGGGGACACACTCACACACTCCTATCGCAGAGGACAATACGACTTTACCTCCAGGCCGCTTCGTAATACGACTACTCGCAGTATGGGGACTCGCTGTTCTTCGTCGGGCTACTCTGTATTGGACTTCTTAGCATGGTTAAACCTTTAGGAACTGATATCCGACCGGTATAGCCCGCAGGATCATTGCAGTACAGAAGCCCGATCACCAAGACAAGGTGACACCTTTAGGCCGGGGTTAGGTGAGTGATGGCTAAATGAATCAGAACTTAGTTGAAGGACGTGGAAATAGGCTGGTGACCAGAAAAATACTAAAAAAGGCACGCGAAAGCTACAACCAACAGAAACTATGCAGTGACTCCAGAAGAGATGACATATATAAACCCCATAACCGAGAGTGATGGTACAGAACTGGAGTTGCGGTGGATTCGCTGTTGGATCGTTTCATGTGACCAGATAACTTTGGTTGTCCTGGAAGTTAGTACCTCACGAAAGCGGGTGGCGGTCAGAACCCAGCCGAAGTAGTCGTACGTAGTCAGCTACCTAAGTGAGCCTCTGAGTTGCTGAGCTGAGAAGTTACGCATTTAGATCCCCGGAAAATACACCACTTTTGGATTTAGCCCGCCGTTATTGGGCGCCCAAAGTTTCAAGGCAAATATCTTTCGTGGTATCAGAGTAACGCGCTGTCGGAGCACACGGAAAACCAGTGACGAGCAACTTACCGCCAGTGAGATTCTTGCATGGCCGTTATCAAATGAAGTGTGCAGCCCAGCTAGACAAGTATCCCGTTCCCTGTGACTTAGAACAATGCTGTCACCTGTAGGACCTATCTACAGATCTATGGGTAACCGGAGGTGGAGATATAGAAGCGTGAATGAGACCATTTAGTTATTTTCGCACACCTCTCGGTGAGAAAACATCCAAACACTCGGTCATTACCGGAGAACGATTATCTACACAAGTCCTTGTTGCACTGGCGTTCACGTACAAAACCAATTCGTGGTGGGCCTACTGAGGCGTCATCCGCAAGCAAGCGGAATAGAATTTCAGCAAGCTTACCTCAGAAAAAACCACGTTCCGCGGACAAACAGTTGCACGAGTGCGGTCCAGCCAGTTGTCGGAACGCTCCCCTCCCAATGGATTCAAAGCCTGTCTTTGTCGGCGAGAAATGGACGGGATAAGATTGGAAGCTCCACTCACCCAGGATGGACCCATTTGGATGATCACGGCTTCATACATAAGGAATATAACTCACACACCCAACGTTACTCAACCCTGGAGCTCATCAAATCACTATATTAGTCAAATATAAGGCGGGTAGACTCAATGAAGCTCCTGAAGTCAGCTAAGGACGAAGACACCTGAAGAAAAAGCGTTCAGCTGTAGCACCCTTTCGGTGCCTAGCTGCCATGCCACCCGAAGGAAGCACGAGGGCTGGGAGACTGCCAGGTTGCCCAAGCCTA